CTTTCCCTAAAAATAGGCTCTGTGGGGCAGCAATGGTTTAAAGATGAGGGGGGGCACCTTGGAGCTCTTTTGTCCTGACAGTGCCTGGGGTAACAGGTGCCATATAGAACCTGTAGCCCCAGGCCCAGGAGAGCTAGGCCCAAGGAGACTTGCTCTGACACTCATATGAGAGTAGGAAATCAGATAGTTACTTACCTTCCCCTGGATATTAGTGCAGAATATTCCAGAATCTGGGGAAGGCTGGCCAGCTGTTTTCCTAGACGCCTAAAAATGTAGCATTATCTTGGTGAATTTTCCAAGGTCCAGGTTTGACCCACAGCTTTGGTATGTCAGAAACCTGATTCTGTCAGCACACCCCGAACAAATCTAATCTGTTATTAGGGGCAGACGCGCTCACCAGACTCACAGGACTGCTGTATAAACCAGAGCGCAGATTTATTAGTTCATAATGAAAAAATAAGTGTCCCTAAAAGTGAAATATTCCAGATCCTTATTCTTTTCCTATAGAAGACCTAACCTAGTCAAAGCCTGCATGGTAAACATAACCATAACAAGAGGAATCAGCTCCGAGGCTTCCAAATGGTGTTTTCATAAGCTCTCTTAGGCAGAGGGTATAGAACTTGTGAAGGCTTGGCTCTCCAGGCCCCTGGAGGGAGGGCCTGTGGCCTCTCCTCTCAGCTCTGGGGCTGAGGAGTCCACTGAGAAGGTCTTTAGGTGAAGACATACCTAACAGCCTCAGCTGAATGTCTCCCGCAGCCTCTACTTTGAAGTTAACTTCAGTCTGGAGTGGCTCTCTCTGCCGTGAACAGGCCCCAGCATTTTCTTTGCCATTGTGGCTGAACAGCCCCCTCTCATGGCCACCACTTTTCCTTTCGACGTGATAATACATTAGCTCAGTACTGCAGGTCTGGAGCCATTCTGACTCCTTAAGGAGTGTGCCCACTGCAGCTCCGACCCGTTCTGTTGGTTTAATCTTCAGACAGCCGCCTTTCTTTTATTGCCCAGTTCTTGGAGGTGCCTCACTGCATCTTTTGCTTTGATTTTGTAGTAGTTTTTATTTTCATTTGGCTAGTTGGTGTGGATTTCCTAAAGGGGGCATTTTAACACTGACAAGAGAGAGGATGAGGAGGAACCTGCATTGCTTTCCTGTTGTAACTGCGGAGCACAACTCTACAGTCAGGAGCTCTGAAGCCTTTGTTTTCTACGGCATCTTTGAAATAGGTCTTTGCAGGCTGTCCCTTGACCTCCTCCTTCCCCGCTGTCAGGGGACAAATCACACCTGAGAACCAGCCCTGGCTCAGAGCAGCAGGTCCTGGGGAATCTGTTCCAGGCTCCTCAATCTTTGGAAAGGGAAGAGGGAGCCGCTTAAGTGGGGCCCGGGGGAGTGAGGCAAGCTGTGCTGGGCTGGTTTGAATCGCAGCCTCACTGGCACTCCCCGGAGACACACGGTCCTGAGGCTCAGCTGTTGTGTCTGCTCCGACCTCCGCGGCTCCTAGGGTAGAGCAGTTATGTTCAGCAAGTCTAGACAAAGTGCACTGAGAGTCTGTGGCTTGGGGAGCAGGACCCAAGGGGCCTCTGCATCCTAGCCCAGCCTGGCCGCACCTTCTGTGACTCCTTGTATGTGAACTGTCTCCAGGGAACTGACTGCCACGTGCTCGCTTGATAAGCCGCGTTAGTGTTCCTTCTCTCATCCATCCCTTCCTCATCCTCTTACCTATCCTCTAGAATTTAAAAATACATAGATCTCCATTTTCTTCAGAGAATGTGAAACCAAACAGTGAGCTCCCTCTTGGAGCAAGAAAATATAAAATGGAAAATATGCATCTCCCTTTAAGTAGTTTGTACAGCAAACTACTTGTTCTGAACTATGTTATAAATGGAGAATGCAGAGATGGGAACCTGTCTGCTGTCGAAGCAGACTGAGGTGAACAAAGCTAAAATTTGATTTAACCTGAGGGCAAGTATATCTTTTTCACGTTCAGTGTAAAAAAGATGTGGACTTTCTTGCCCTGTTTATGTTTGAAGACAAAGACATCTGTGTTACAGCCTTGACCTGTTAGGATTCGGCCAATTGCTTGAGGTCATGGGACATGTTTTTGAAGACATAATATTACTTCATGAACTCCGTTCCTGTTATTTTCAGTTAAGGTGTAAACAACATCGTCGGCGTGTTCTTTCCTTTTCTCTTCTTTTATTTGTTCTCCGCAAAACTATAAAAAGCCAGAACTGCTTGGGAGGTTTTGAGATGGCTGCTGTGATTCATTATCTCCCATTTGCGAAACAGTTCATAAGACAAATTATAGAGAAACTACAGTGCTTCTGACAGTTTCCAAAAAGTAAACACAGCGCACAGTGATGATGTCTCCACGTCCTCTCTCGCCAGCCGTAAGCCCCTGTCTCTCCTGACCTTCTGGCAGGCCTTCACCATGGAATGTTTCAAACCTGCATTAACATTCTGGACTTCAGCCACTTCCATCTTCCCCCAGATGTCATTAAGGCTGTCAGCACCATTGATGTGCACGAGAAGGAGGGGCATCTCTGGCCCAGGGTGGCCATCTTCTCGTCGGCAGCGCCCGGAGTCCTCCACGGGACCAGGCTCAGCAGTCTGAAGGTGGTGGATCTGGAATCACAGAAGACCACGTACAGCTCAGGTACCGCAGCCCCTTGCTGGCTCCTCCCAGCCCCACCCAGCCACTCTGGACACCGAATCCAACCCTGTGTGCCAGCTGCTGGGGAAATGAGATGAGTGAGAGGCAAGGCCAGGCCTCGGGGGCCCCTGTTCTGGGGCTGGGGAAGGCAGTCCCAGGACTGGCACCCAACCAGCCGGGTGGACCGTGTGAGATGAGAAGGTGGCGGGACGTGGTTCGCTCGGCCGGGGGCTGGTGGGGAGCTGCCCAGAGGAAGGGGCTTGGACCAGCCAACGGCGCCAAACCGCTGGACCCATCTGACTGCAGCCACTTTTCTCCTCTCACCCCGCCGTCCAGGTGTCAGTGACGACGAGTTGCTGAGTAGCCTGCAGGTCCTGGACACAGACACCTTTGCCTTCTGCTGCACCTCGGGCCGCCTGGGGCTTGTCGACACCCGCCAGAAGTGGACCCCGTCAGAGAACCTCAGGCCCAGCTCTGGGTCCACTGGAGGGAGGTGGTGTGCAGAAGCTGGCCGGGGCCCTGGGCCCAGCATTGCCAGCCTTGGCTCGGACGGACAGCTCTGCCTTCTTGACCCCCGGGATCTCTGCCAGCCGGTGAGCTTGGTCCAGTGCCCAGTGTCCACGCCTAGCCCTGACCCAGAGCTGCTGCGAGTGACTTGGGCTCCAGGCCTGGACAACTGCTTGGCCATTTCAGGTACTGCTGAGAGGATTTTGTGTCTGTCACTTGATCTCTCTCTTCCAGGGACTCTTGGGTGCTCAGGAAGGAGCCTGTAGTCCCGTAGTAAATCTGGCCCCAGAAGTTAAAGTTGCTCACAGAAAAGCTCCAGATTAGCTCTCCAGTTTCTTTAGTGTTGGCCCTTCCACATCCTGGCTACCAGACTTCCCCACGTTGGTAGCAGGCCTTTCCTGTCACAGCAGGAATTCAGTTCTGAGATTGGTGGAGAGGCTGCGGATGGTAAGACACTAGGACAGCCACGGGCTGCACCAGGGAGAGGCGATAGGGTCTCAGCGGTGCCGCTCAGTCTACTCGCTTTAGAACTACAGCAAGCTAGCTAGGTCAGCAGGCTCCTAGGTCTGGCCCGGCAGTATCTAGTTGAATGAGGGTGTGTAATGAGGTATCTGAAAGCCAATGGAAGGATCCTCTGATGGGGGGAGAGGTTGAAAGAATAGTTGAGAGGGCAGGAGAGGGTCATTGGTCATGGCAGGATCCAGAAAGAGCAGAAGAGCAGAACCAGGCTTGGGTAGTTCTCTCTAAAGGCTTCTCTTTCCCCCATCAAGTAGGAGACAAGGCCATCTGCTGAGAGGGACTCACATGTGGAGGGATTAGAATCGGGGGCAAGTGGAAGAGGTTTGAAAAGTCTCTAAAGCCTCCGTTTATTGGGGAAAATAATAGTACCTACTTCATACAGTTGTGAGGTTTAAAAGAGAGAATTCAAGGTTAGCCTTGGGCCTGGCACGTGATAGATAGACAACAGATGCTTATTGTTATATGCTCCGTGGAGTCATCAGCCGCCAACATTGACGGCAGATGTTACATGCCCTTCAGTTGGCCTTTAATTTTATTTATTTATTTTTTTGGCTGCACCGCGCAGCTTGTGGGATCTTAGTTCCCCGACCAGGGATAGAACCCGCGCCCTCAGCAGTGAAAGCGCAGAGTCCAAACCACTGTACCGCCAAGGAATTCCCTCAGTTGGCCTTTAAGTATCTTGTGGCTATTTGATTCCTCATCCTCTAGCCTGGTTTGGTTCCGTAGAGCATTCAGAGATTCAGCGTCAATGCTCGCTTTTCTTGTTCTTCCTCAGGTTTTGATGGGACGGTCCAGGTCTATGATGTCATGTCTTGGGATGGAATAGGGCGCCAAGTAGAACCTCTCTTCACTCACAAAGGTCACATCTTCCTAGACGGCAATGGGATGGACACTGCTCCACTGGTCACCACCCACACCTGGCACCCCTGCAAACCGAGGACTTTGTTGTCCGCAGCAAGTGATGCCTCTCTGCACGTATGGGACTGGGTGGACCTCCATGCTGTGTAGCAAGGATATTGATTCAGGATTCAAATGACCACAGAGCCCTGTTACCAGCTGAGTGGCCGTGGGCAAGTTAACCAGCCTCTCAGTCCCAGTTTCTTTATTTGTAGAATGAGACTGGTAATAACTACCTGGCAGGACTGTTGGGAAAGTTAGAAGTAACATATTTAAAAGTAACTGGTAAGGGGACTTCCCTGGTGGCACAGTGGTTAAGACACCGCACTCCCAATGCAGGGGGCCCGGGTTCGATCCCTGGTCAGGGAACTAGATCCCACATGCATGCTGCACCTAAGAGTTCGCATGCCACAACTAAGGAGCCCGCCTGCCGCAACTAAGGAGCCCGCCTGCTGCAACTAAGGAGCCCATGTGCTGCAACTAAGGCTCATGTGAGCCACAACTAAGGAGCCCACCTGCTGCAACTAAGACCCAGCACAACCAAATAAATAATTTTAAAAAATAATAATAACTGGTAGGATGCATGGCACAATAAAGATTTGGTAGCTACTCTTAGATCTGGGAGTCCCATTTCCCCCAAGTGTAAAATGGCAGTGTTTTACCCCTGTCTGCATTCACAATATCATGGAATCTGAAGAGCCAACGAATATAAACAGGTTTTGTGAACTTTTCTACAGAAGTGAAAATATATAGTGACAGATAATCATGATAAAAGTCAGCCCCAGTAGCAATTAAGGAAATAGCAATTAAAATAAGATTATGCCATTTTTATCTACTAAATTGCCAAATTTTAAAACATTTTTGCCTTGAACAGCTGATAGAGGTTACATGGTACACAATTCAGAAGGTACAGAGGAGCAGCTTAGTTTATCCCAGTTGTAATGATGTACCATTGTTCAGTTGAACCATAATTTATATATCCAGGCTTCTGTTATGTGGCAATTAAAATTTTCTAATCCTTTTAAATTACAAGTAGTGTGTACAACTTTTGTGTCTATGAACAATATGTCTGTAGAATACATTTCTAAGAATAAAACTGATAAGGCAGAGGATGTGAGCATTTTCAACTTTATAAATACTGTCAAAGTGCCCTCCATAGAGATTGTGTGACTTTATGACGGCAACGATGATGATCAGTCTGATTCTCTTACCTCACCACCACTCTCCTTAGTGGCTTTTTGATCTTTTCCAGTCTGATAAATGAAAAATCATTATTTGTACTTTTAGTCTGCATTTCTCTTATGTGTGAAGTTGAGACTCTTCACATATTTAAAAGTTTGGGGGCAGCTGTTTTTAAAGGTGGTAAGCCAGGGTGGGGAGCTAGGCATTCTCATCAGTACCATCTGCAGCTGGCGTTCAGGCAGACTGGCCACCCTCCTCTCGGGCGGTTCTCACTGGAACACGGCCTTCAGGGTGATGCTTTCCAGCCCCTGCCCCCCAGGGGAGTAGGCCCAAAAGACATTTCTTTTTGGTGGCCTGTAGCAAATATGAAAGTGTACCTGCATGTGATTCCTCACTGTCACATTTGTTAAAGGATTTTCAGCAATTTTCTTGTTGAAATTATGTGATTACTAGTCAGTTTGGGCTCTGATATTTTTTAAAAATAGCTTTATTGAGATATAATTCACATACCATACAATTCAACCATTTAAAATGTACAATTTAATGGGTTTTGGTATACTACTTTATTAGTTTTTAAAGATTATGGTAAAATATATCTAACAATTTGCCATTTTCCCCATTTTTAAGTGTACAACTCAGTGGCATTAATTACATTCACAATGTTGCATGACCAGCACCACTATTTCCAAAACTTTTCATCACCCTAAACAAACTGACTGTTGTGGGCTCTGGTTTTTTGGCTTTCAGTTGGGCCTACTTGGTGTATTCTTCAGCTGGGCTCCTATACCAAAATGCCACAGACTGGGGTCTTAAACAACAGAGATTTACTTCTCACAGTTCTGGAGGCTGGGAAGTCCAATATCAAGGTGCTGGCTAGGTGGGTTTCATCCTGAGGCCTCTTCTCTTGGCTTGTAGGTGGCCACCATCTTGCTGTGTACTCACATGACCTCTTCTCTGTGCTCATGCAGAGAAAGCTCTGGTCTCTGTTCCTCTTCTTATGACACCAGTCCTTTCAGGTTAGAGCCTCACCCTTATGACATCACTTAACCTTAATTACCTCTTAAAAGCTCTATCTCCAAATACAGTTACATTGGGGGTTTGGGGGGTGGGAGGGGGTATAATTTAGCCCATAGAATTTAGGAATTATTCTGAAGTAAGAAAAACCTAATTTTCCAATGAAATGATTTTTTAAAATTAATTTAACAAATGTAATGAATGAGCATTACATTTTTTTTTTTTTTTTTTTTGCTGTATGCGGGCCGCTCACTATTGTGGCCTCTCCCATTGCGGAGCACAGGCTCCGGACGCGCAGGCTCAGTGGCCATGGCTCACGGGCCCAGCCGTTCTGCGGCATGTGGGATCTTCCCGTACCAGGGCACGAACCCGTGTCTCCTGCATCAGCAGGCGGATTCTCAACCACTGCGCCACCAGGGAAGCCCGAGCATTACATTTTGGAGAGATGTAATTAAACAATTTCAGACTCAAGATGTGATCCTTCTTACCATTGTCTGGAGTCTTCTTTATAATCCTTTTCTTCCTCTCCATCGCCCCATGAGAACTGATTCTATAGATTCATTTCCAGAAAAAGGTAATTTCTTCTTTGCTGTGCGCCATTTCGGCTTAAGCTTCACAGGAACGCTCTGCTTTCAGATAGAAGAGGAAACCTATATGACAAATCAGGGATTTTTTTTTTTTCAAGAGAGTTGGATTACCAGCATAGCACTGGCTAAACTATATTATTTCACCAAGTAAAAGAGATGAATAATTTAGAAAATAGTAGAATTGATACATGAATTGAAAAGCTGCTTTTCTAGACTTCGCTGGTGGTGCAGTGGTTAAGAATCCGCCTGCCGATGATGCAGGGGATGCGGGTTCGAGCCCTAGTCCGGGAAGATCCCATATGCTGTTGGAGCAACTAAGCCCGTGAGCCACAACTACTGAAGCCCACGTTCTAGAGCCCGTGCTCTGCAGCAAGAGAAGCCACCACAATGAGAAGCCCACAAGCAGCAACAAAGAGTAGCCCCCGCTCGCCACAACTAGAGAAAGCCCATGCGCAGCAACAAAGACCCAACGCAGCCAAATTAAAAAAATAAATAAATAAAAACTTTAAAAAAATAAAAGAAGAAAAGCTACTTTTCTGAAAAATACTGATACATCAGTCAGTCATGGTCCAGCCAGGAAGACTGAATCCACACCAGATAATTCAGTGGAGGGAATTTCATTATGTGGTATCTGAAAGAGGATGCAAGGGAAGGTGAGGCCCTAAAGGAGGTGGTGGGTGTGTTGCCCAGAGCCCAGGAATGGGGCCTCGCAGTGGGAACTGAGCACAATGATCTTGCCTGGCAGTGGCTGGGGCCGTGGCAGGATCTGAGACTGCAAACAGCTAGACTACAGGAAGTACAGAGAAAGAAGTCCCCAGGCTTCTCTCCTTCCGCCCTCCAACATCCTGCCTGTGCCATGGACCAAACCTGGCATGAGCTTGTCAGCAAGGGAGCCTGGGAAATGCAGCAAGCAGGGTACGGGCCTGGTATGGATCTGAGGACAAACAGGCAAATGACTGGCACCACAGCCAAACCTCCTCAAGCAAGAAAAAGGAATAAAATGAATAAAGAAAATAGAACAAGGATATCACAACAAATCTAGAGAACAAGAATTATAAGAGAATATAGTGTGCACAATATTAATTTGAAAATCTCAAGATAAACAGTTAATTTTCTTGAAAATATACATTGATTTTTATAAATTTCTTTTTTTAGTAGAAAATCTGAATTATCCAATAAGAAAGAAAAAAACTACTCAAAAGAATATTGGGGGGGACAATTTTGTAAATAATTTTTTTTCAAACTTTGAAAGAACAAAATTCCCATGCTATAGAGACTATTTCACATAAAAAAATATAAAAACTCATTTTATGAAGGTACTGTAATCCTAGTAACAAAACTTGGCCAAGAAACTATGCTCAAACACAACACCACACTCTCTCAAGCTCAGGTTTTCACACTAGACAGTGGCCTCAACACTATACTCCACAACAGTCCTTTTATAACCAATATTTTTTTTTTCCAATGGGGAGAAATGTACTCATTTTAATGGAATTCCAAAAGATAGTATAATTTTAAATAAAATAGCCTAACAGGCATAGGTTATTAGAAACAGACACAAGCTACAAAAAGACTAGAAAGAAAGGATACACAAATAGCTTTTAATGTATTGGAAATAAACGGCTTCATTCTGGGTTTTTTTTGTTATGATTACAAACCAGAAACATTTTTATTGTTTATTCTCCATAGACACACTATATTAAGATTTTGGTGAAAACACTTTTTTTTGTGTGTGTGTTACGCGGGCCTCTCACTGTTGTGGCCTCTCCCGCTGCAGAGCACAGGCTCCGGACGCGCAGGCCCAGCAGCCATGGCTCACGGGCCCAGCAACTCCGCGGCATGTGGGATCTTCCCGGACCGGGGCACAAACCCGTGTCCGCTGCATCGGCAGGCGGACTCTCAACCACTGCGCCACCAGGGAAGCCCAAAAACACTTTTTTTTTTAACATCTTTATTGGAGTATAACTGCTTTACAATGGTGTGTTAGTTTCTGTTTTATTCACAAAATGAATCAGCTATACATATATATATATATATATATATATATATATATATATATATGACCCTCCCTATCCCACCCCTCTAGGTGGTCACAAAGCACCGAGTTGATCTCCCTGTGCTATGTGGCTGCTTCCCACTAGCTATCAGTTTTACATTTGGTAGTGTATATATGTCCATGCCACTCTCTCACTTCATCCCAGCTTACCCTTCCCCCTCCCCATGTCCTCAAGTCCATTCTCTAGTATGTCTGCGTCTTTATTCCTGTCCTGCCCCTAGGTTCTTCATGACCCTTTTTTTTTTTTTTTTTAGATTCCATATATATGTGTT